GTGTAACATAACGTTTGGGGGTTTTTCGTTTGTTTCATTTTCTCATTACCCGTGTTGTTGCTGCTGCTGCCGTTGTTGTTGTTGTTGTTGTTGTTTTTGCCGCTGCTATTGCTGCTGTTATTGAGCCCGTGATGTGATTTTAGCCAAATGTGTACATTGTTGTGCCATATCTATAGCGCAGCGCATTCGGTTATTGGTGGTAGTTGTGGCCGTGTTAAGCCTCTGACAGTACATTTTTTTTGTCGTTTGGTTTAAATGTTTCACAGCCATTTTCTATGTACTGTTGTACACACAAACACATACAAAAATAAATATTACACCTATATATATTGTGTGTACGTGTGAGTTGTCTTCTCTCGACGGATTCTGTTGTCTCTGCATGGATTTTTGTTCGAATACACTCTTTAGACGTTACCTTTTTTTCTTGCTTTGATTTCGGTGGCTAGAGAGTCAGTTAGCTCAAGTTAGGCCAAAGAAAAGAGTTGAGAAAATGAAATGTGTCAAAAAAGAGCAGCGTTATATAGTTGTGGGAACATCAGAAGCGTGGTATGAGTAGGATTTTTTTGGCCGGGTTATGATTTGAAAAGGCAGTATGGAAAGAAACAAAAATTTTGTTATAAGAAGGGATTTTTAAATATTTATGGAGAAATTAAGAATTATTACAGCAAAAATAATTGTTATATTTATATAAGCATATATTGTATATAAGTATGAAATTTTTATAACTTTACCAATAAAAAAATATGTATCCAGGCCTCCTACTTTTCAATTCAATCCTAGAACTTTTATCATATTAAAAACTCTGTTACTTCCTGAAACGCATTATGTTTGTCATTTGGTTGGAAACATCTTCAAATATTTGTCAGAGGCAAAATCTTGATGTCGATTTATGTTGTTGTTCTATGTTGTTCGATATAGGCTTGTAGCTTCCAAGCAGCTGGGAGTTTATTGGTTAAAGAGTTTCCTAAAGGCATGCTAAGACTTGCAACTTCCAACTTGGGTTTTTGCTTTCTTCTCAGAAGAAATCGAGGTTGTTTCCGAGATAGAGTTCGATTAGTGAGAACAGGCAGAACGCTTGTTGTGAGCTGAGAGCTTTGTTTGAGCTTAGGTTAGGAAAGTTATTAGGGCTTTGTATAGGCTTGAAGCATGCTAACCATATGAAGCTTTTTAGAGAGTAAAGCGTGCCGGGCACAAGGAGTTTACCAAAAGTGAAGATACATATACAGGGTGTGATAAAAAACTGCAACAAATTCAAACGCCATAATTTTTAAATTTCTTTTAAATTTGTTGAATGAAAGCAAAAAATGTCGGAAATAACATCGAGTTTTAGAATAAGTTAAGATTTGTTCCAATTGGTCACCTTTGGCACGAATTATGGCCTTCAAAAGGCCAATGAAACCGTCACCCGCTGCCGAATGTTGCTCTGCGGTATTTTGGGCCATTCCCGGTGAAGCGCTTGCTTGAAGTGATCGACACTTTGGTATTTTTAAGTGCCAACATTGCTTTCCTAAATACTCCAGACACAATAGACCAACGGATTGGTATCCGGAGATTTTGATGGCCATTGTGCGCCGGAAATGAAGCGAGAAACCTCATTTTGTAACCATTCTTGGGTGGCGCGTGCTGAGTGCGATGGCGCTGAGTCCTGTTAGAATGTCCAAGGTCTGCGACAAAAATATTTGCGTGTCCAATGCTTTAATACACCATCCAGAATATTTTCGCGATAATATTCGGCATTTATTCTGATGCCACGTTCGACTAGTACGAGTGGCGAGCACTTCCACTTTTTGGAATTTCAATGACTTTATCTTGAGCTAATTTTTCAATATTTGCCGAATGGAATATTGTGATATGTTCAGCTCACGGGCCATTTTTCGGCCACTGCGACGCAGGTTTCGATCAAGTTGCTTCTTTACTTTTCGAACCATTTCTGCTGATTTTGCTGTTTTCTTCCGTCCACTTCCTTGACATCGGGCTACGCTACCAGTGTCACGTTAACGAGACACAAAAGATTTATTCACATTTAAATGCTGGAGTGTTCTAACGACAGCCACTTGTGGTTTTCCAGCCAAATATAAAGAAATCACACTATCACGCTTGAATTCCATCAGGAATAATTTTTTTACTAGAAAATTTGCACCAAAATTCTTTTGTGCGCTTGTAAATAATATAATGAGCTATCACTGGAATAATTTTAACAGCTGTCTGACGAGTGCCTTAGAAATGCCAGCAGTCTGAAGTTGGTTGCAGGTTTATCATCTCACCCTGTATATATATACACTACTACAGATATGTGGCTGAGGGTATATTTTTTTGTAAAGAAGTAAAGTTTGGGCTTGTAATACCCCAGTTCTTTGGGACCTATAGGTAGACATGGAGATGGACCCATTAAGAATCTAAAATACCAAAATCATTAAAGTACCGAATATAGCGAGGTATATCGTACACGATTTTGAGTAGCACCATATAACGGGGTGCTACAGAAAAAATACAGCTCTGTACAAAATCTTAGTTATCTACGAGGTTATACTAACTTAGAGTTTTGCGCTGATGAAGGATATACACACTCTGTTGGGTCTAAAATAATTATTTCGAGGAGTGAGGAATGATAAAGTGAATTATAACCTCCCTACCTATGGTGGAGAGTATAGGAAATCATAAATCGTATATGATGCGAAAGGAGTGAACGATTCCGTTCAACCTTCGGACATCGAAAGATATTTATCAAACTTAAAGCAGATAAAAATATGAATAATAATACCTTTCGGTATCTTCCCTAAAAAAGAACAAGAACTTAAATAAACTGCGAATGGAATGGTTAGAATAAAAATTATTTATAATTTACAATTTTAATTCAGGATTATCTTATTTTATCAATATTAGAATGCAAATAAAAACATTTTTCTCGCTATTTTAAGGAGATATACGCAATCGCGTTTGTGTCTTAAGTCTTTTGTTTGTTGTGGGCTTGCACACTCATTGTAGTGCTGAGTATTTTCAATTTCAATGAAATTCATCAATTACCACACATGTTTTGGGTTTAAAATTCATTTGAGGTACTTGTTCAGTACGTCCCCGCAAATGATTCATCTTTTCTCGCTTGGCCAAGAATAAATTAAACGTTTTATGACTACACGACACATTACCGTAGCCCCTACGGCAGACATTTCTTTGTCGTTGGCAAGCCATCCAAAAACAAAACGCCACTGGCATTGAGATTTGACTTGACTCTTTGACTTCTTGAGTTTTTATTTATGTCTAATTCTTTTTTTCAAGTCAAATGCATTTACACACACACACAGACAGACTGACTTGCCTTGTGCGCACCCCTAATCCCAGATACTTTTGGCATTTCCTTTTGTTCTTTATTTGGTTTTCTTCTTTTGTGTTTGGGTTTTTTGGACAATTGGATTTTTTTTTCTCGGGGAGCGTAGTTTTTCTTTTAAACGGAATGCTATCAAAAGATAGAGTGACCAAAATATTGAGATGAGCGTTTTGTCTTACTACCTGGGTTAAAATCAAATAGATGGGAGAATAACAATTGAGCAACACAAAAATACATACAGGTAGTGGTGGTGGGAAAGAGTTGTGAGAGCGTAAGCAACAGGTGAGAGTGTATTGTTGTGTGAGGCTAGGCCTCCTAAGATGAAACCATAAAAAGACAAAAAGGAGATACAATGAAAAGTAATACCAATACAGAAGTGTATTGAGGGAGAGCAAATGTGTGAGAGAGAGCCCAACTGTGTGCTCCCCCAACAGGCACCTGTGTGGGAAAAACACCTGAAGAGACACCAATACATTGAGTGCTGCCTTACCAATTTGGAGTGATCTCCCAAATTTGAGACGGAGAGTACCACACCAGAGAGTTGGAGAGAGAGAGAGAATACAACGCCGTTGCTTAAGTAAATTTTGTAGGTATCTGCGACGACGACAGCAGCTCTACACGTTCCTTAACATCAGCGTTTACCATCTACAACGAGTTTTTCATACCTTCGGCGCAAACAACATTATATTCCCCCTCTCGTAACATTAGAAATTTCTCGTTAAATTTACCGTGTTTTCTTGTAATTTGGCCGTGTTTTCAGACAATTCGCCAATGAAAATGCAATTGTCCAGTGAAATAAATAAGAAATTCATTAAAAATCCCAACGAAATGTGTTAATTTTCCATCGAAATCAATAAAATAAATAAATGGAAAAAAATATGATGCTGTAATTGTGAATTATTATTAGTGTGTGGAAACAAGTAAAAAAGCTACAACAAATACCATATTGTGCCTAAATCTCGTTTCGTCGCGCCTCACCTCACCTCTTTGATCACAAGAGCCAACAACAACAAATACAGAGAGTTAACTTGTTGTTGTTGCCTTTGTTGTTTTTGTTATTATTGCTGAATTTAAAAATAATACAAAAACGCAAAACAAAAAAAGAATTAACAAAACAATAAAACACACGGGCCACAACAACAAAACAACAATAAATTAAATTTAATTTTAAACAAATTTGAAGATACTTCCCAAAATAGTTTCTCATTACTGTGTAAAGTGCATAAAAAAGTCTTGAAAAATATTTGAAATCTATCTGTTGTTGAATGCAAAAAATCAAAAAAAAAAAAAATATCAAAAGCCTTTTTTTCTTCGAGCCAAGAGTCAAGCTCCTCGTCGTCTTTTTACCACCACAACGAGGAGTTACAAACATACAAACCGAACCTCTAAGAAACAACAGCAGCAGCAACAACAACAAAACAAAAAAATCCAACAAATTCCAATGGTGCAGTTGCCTGAGAGCTAACGCGGCCCAAAACAATTCGTTTAAGCGTCACCGAAAAGACTACGTGCGGGAAAAAGACCACAGAAATCTTTTCATTTAAAGTCTAAGAAACGAAAAAAAAACAACAAAAAATTGTGATAGAATTGTTGTAAAACAAATAAAAATTGTTTAACAAAACAAAAAAAAAAGATATATATTTGCCATATTTAATACAAATTTAATTGAATAAATAAAAATAATAAAAAAAAATCAGTGCCTTCAACCCAACAACAAAAAGTGATAAATCCTCAAATTAAAAAAAAAGAAAAGTATTTTTTTCAAATAGTGCAAAACAACCATTCATTATCAACAAAAAAATAGCTTAAGCTCATCACCATTCCAGTGCTCTTCGAAAACATCAAAGAAACCCAAAAAAGCTGAAAAGAAAAAAAAAACATAATCAACCACCACCAGCTAATTTGTTATGGTTTCATTAAGCTTACGTAAGTGTTGTGTTTTGAATTCCTCCCCCTGCCAGCCACGAAAATGTTAAATATTTCCAAAACTTTTTTCCCCCAATAATCACCAAAGAAATGCAGTGAAAAACTATAATTTAATATTTAAGAAAACCTAAAATAAAAATGGAAAACAAATTACTGGCTTGCTTTAGTATATGACCAGAAGTGCGCGCGTTTTTTTGCCTGAAACAGCCAGCTAAATAAAAACAAAATCGCAAAACAAAATTCATTAAAAACAAACGTTGTTGTTATTCTGCCTCTCTCTCTCTACCTCTCTACTTCGCGTTGTTTGCCTTCATTTGGCTTTGTTTGTGAGCCCCTCGCCCCCCTCGCTCCTCTCTTTACGGGGTGAAGAAAACAAGCTTTAAACGACAACAACAACCACAACGGCATTACCATCATCATCATCGTCGTCGTCGTCACCGTCATGTTTATATCTGATGATGTTTTTTTTTTTTTTTGTTTTTGGTTTATATACTCCATTGCATCCCCCTTTCTCTTTTGTGGCAGTGATCTGTCTGTTTGGCTGTCCGTCCGTCTTGCGTACACATTTTGGCCATTACTATTTGATTGTCGTCTCTTCTGCTGTTGCTGCTGTTGGTGGTACTCTGATAGGCGTCTGAGTTGCTTTTGTTGTTGGCTATCTGTTGTGGTTGTTCGTTTCTTTTGCCTTTACCTCATTTTTTCTTCTCTTGTGCGTCTTTACCAACTTCTTCTTCGCAGTGATCGTCGTCGTCGTTGTCTGCTTCTTCTTCTTCTTCTTCTCTTCGTCTTTTCATCAGTTTAATCAAGCCGGAACTGTTTTTGTTGTTATTATTGTTTTGAAAGTAATACGAATGATTTTTCTCATTGTTGTTGTTGCTGTTACCTTTCTCTCTCTTGATATAATAAAAATACAATAAACAAAAACAACAAACAAAACAATCATCAGTTCAAATGTTTAACCCTCTCGGAACCCTTTTTAGCATGATACAGGGTGAGATGAAAAAAACTGCAACCAACTGCTCTCAATTCTAAGTCACTCGCTCATTATACTGTTTACAGGCGCACAAAAGCAAAGTTATTCGTGATGGAATTCAAGCGTGATAGTGTGATTTCTTTGTATTTGGCTGGAAAACCACAAGTGGCTATCGTTAAAGCACTCCAGCATTTAAACGTGGATAAATCTTTTGTGTCTCGTACCATCGCTCGTTACCGTGATACTGGTAGAGTAGCCCGAAGTCAAGGAAGTGGACGGAAGGAAACAGCACTATCAGCAAAAATGGATCGAAAAGTAAAGAAGCGACTTGATCGAAACCCGCGTCGCAGTGGCCGAAAAATGGCTCGTGAGCTGAACATATCGCAATATTCCTTTCGGCAAATATTGAAAAATTAACTCGGGGTAAAGCCATTGAAATTCCAAATTCCTTTGAAATTCCAAATTTTAGGCAACATTTGCGTTCAAAAAATTAAAAATAAATAGCAAAATTTAATGGAAAACGCAATTTTTATTTTCTCATAAACAATCTCTTTATATGATTTTGCTCAGCTCCGTTGTAAAGTCATCATTATCTCTCATTACTCTCCCTAAGTTATTTTTATAAGTTCGTGTCTTAAGTCTTTCTACTTTTTCAGCTGAATCAATGAGTACATGCTCTCTGAGTACAGAAAATCTCTTAATGCTCATATGGTGTTTGTTTCTTAAGTCTTTTGTCGAAATATCAATTTCAACGTGAAAAAATCAAAATAAAATTGTTAAATTATGAAAATATAAATTTTAGTGCGTCTTTGGTTATTGCACCCTTATTTTCTCTCTAAACAGACTATACCTTCTTTTGATAACTTACATCACGAAGAACAAGAAAATCCCGAGATTCGGCGTCTCATCGAGTTTCAAATTTAAAACAGTAAATACTTCCGAAATGGGCAGGAACTAAAATATAAATTAATGGACGGTATGTTATACTGGGAATATTACGACGGTTATAACTAGAAATTACCTTATTTGTGGTTAAAATCTTAAATGCAGCGACGTATTCAGAAAATTATCTTTTTCAAGCAATTGTACACAAAATGCCAAAGAAATAACTATTTCTATAATAGTCCAAGCCCAGTGCTCTCTCCACGTTTATTACGCATATCCAAAAGAATCTACATCTCTTCATTCTACACACCAACAGTGATCCAAAATTACTACCATTTAGTACTTTTCGGACAATCTCAACCCCAGATCCAGACCTCAATATCAAATGTCGAGATTCCAGCTCTATATATTCACTCAGAACCCATACGAGATCTCAACACCAGGAGCCAACAGAGACCTCAATATCAAATTTCGAGATTTCAGCTCATCAACATTCACTAAATACCAAAGTTTGTAACATTTAGTACTTTTCGTATAATTTTAGTACTCATCCAACAGTCCCATATCTCAATCCTAGACACCAATACTTATCACAATCTAAAATTTCACGGTTTTAGCTCTATCCCTTCATCCAATACAAAATTTAGAACCATTTAGGATTTTTCGTACAACTACAGTACGCATTTTCACCTGTTAGTCTCAACCTCAGACACCAAGAGTTATCTAAATATAAAATTTCAATATTTTATCTCTATCCCTTAAGCGAGACTAAATTTAGTATCATTTAGTACCTTTCGTACCATTATAATATACATCTCCTAAACCTTCAAAAGGCTACGACCCTAATTTCGAATTGCAAGCACTGTCTTTTTACCCAATACCAAATTGTACCAACTTTAGTACTGTTTAGTATTTTTCGTCCACTTGTAGTACACATTTCCAAAACCTCAATTATATCACAAACCTATCATAAACAGGGACTAATATACAAAATTTTAAAATTCCAGCTTTATCCGTTCAACCTAAGCCAAACTGTTCAATTGGGAACTTTTTGTAAAATTATAATACACACTTTCAAAACCACCTTTATATCTCAATTCCAACAGAGAACTCAATATCAAATTTGAGGATTCCAGACCTATCCCTGCACCCAATACCAAATATAGTACCATTCAGTACTTTTTTCACTACAGATTTCCGAAACCACCTCCATATGTCCAGACTACACATGAACAGCGACCCCGATACCAAATTTTAGAGCTCAATGCTAAATTTTAACAAATGAAGTAATATTTATTACTTTTGGGCACTTGTAGTACACATTTCCACACATTTCTTTATCAACAGAGATCCCAATACAAAATTTCAAAATTCCAGCTTAATTCGTTCATCTTTTATCAAACATTTCCAAATTCACCATTTTGTACAATTCGTACACTTAGTACACATTTCCACAACGACCTTCATATATCAAACTTTCCAACCTTGATTCTCATACCAAATGGTACAGTTTTGTACCATTGTTACAACTTTTCGCAACATTAAAGTTCAAATTTCAAAAAACCCTTCGATACCGCTATCCTGACTCTCATTTCATTCATTTCAGGATTCTAGCTCATTCAGTTTGTCCACTACAAGGAATTCATTTTTTAGTTAATTTTAGTACTTTTCGTATCCCAAAAAGAAAAAAAATCAGGATTCGGATCTTAATCTTATCTTCAGCCCTTTCATTTGGGCGTTGATTCTCGATTAGTCAGTCAGTTATTTCACTACTCTTTTATATGTATACAGAGGGAAGTTCAAATTTTTCATAATTTGTTTTTTCAAACCATAGTCGACTTATCTCAATTTCGAAAAGGGTGTTAAGATCCGAAAACATATAATCCCAAAATCGAATAGTGATCGTTGATCAAGACTATGATCCATGCCAAAAATCTAAAAAAATCTAATCGAAAGTCGACTTACTTCCCCTTTATTTCGAAAGAGAATCAAATAAATTAAAACAGAAACATTTTCTTCGCTCATAAACTGGTTGTGTTCGAACTATAGGGAACCGGAGTTAAAAGCTATCGACCGAAGAAGTCAGAACTTAAAAACATATGACCTACAATGACAAATATTTAGCATAGGTTGTGATCGGACATAATAGTTATATGAACGCAGACAATACGGTTTTTCTATCAGCGCTGCTCAAGAAAAAATATCTCTTTCCAGTCAAATTTCTCTTTGCTTATTTAAATCAAGAACTGAACAGTGTTAAGTCATTATACAAATATTTTTTATACATTTGTTTTATAAATTATTTTGGCAAACATTCATGTTTAAAAACAAAATGGAAACGTAATATATAAAGAAAATCAAAATTTTAAATTTCTTTTAAATTATATCTTTTTTCGGTTCATGTTCTAGAACACGGTTTGGAGCAGGGCCGTTTTCTATATTTAGTCAATTTAGTCAATTAATAGATATTAAAGTTTCAGATAGTTCCAATAATATATCGAATTTAGATTATGTTTCGAAGTTATGTAGAATTGGATTTTAAACATCCAATTGCCCAAGAAGTCTAAAAATCTCAAAATTTTGAAATCTAGGTCCTCAAACCATTTACAGGAGGTTAACTCTCAATTCTCTCTATTACCCTCTCTTAATTTTTAAAGGTTTGTGTCTTAAGTCTTTTGATTTAGCTACTTCATTTATTAACAGTTGCTCTCTCTCTCTCTCTCTTGCAGTGTTTAATTTTTATACTCTCGGTCAATGTCTCTCTTAATTGTTATACAAAGTTTGTTTCTTAAGTCTTTTGTATGACAAAGCAATACTAGAAGTTTTTATAACTTCAAACCATTTTTATAACAATTATATTAACAAGTTTTTTGTAGAAATTTTACTCCTTAGAATTTCGGTACCGATTTTGCTTTACCAGCATCCCCTTGCCCACATGGGTTAATGCTGGCCACCTTTTTATTTATATTATGATTGTGATCTTTGTTTAGCTTGAAGTTATTTATTAAGCATTTGCTGTTGTTGTAGTCTTTCGTTGGCTGGCCTGGTATTGCTGCCGTCTTGAGTTTTATTATATGTGCCATTTCTATGTAGCCAGCCATAAATGCGCTGTTACTATTGCTGCTGCTGTTGTTGTAATTAT